AACTAACCTAACTTAAACCGAAGTTGTGCTTGTGAGTTTACATTGAGCGTTCAAAAATTGACGTTGGGAATTACCTAAGATAATTGATGCAGTGAGATAGGAGGCTTGGTCTAGGACCGAGCCGCGGGGGCGGTTACCCCCCAAATTTGACTGCAGCTAGACTGCTTTTGATGCCTGTGATATACCTTTTACGGGTTTCGTGAGGTTTCCTCCTCCCGGAGTCCGGCCCTGGGCCAGGATTGCCTAGTGCTTGCTTGGTCAACCAGGTTGTTTGTGCTGGCGGCCCTCTTGCTGGCCCACATATCCGTCACAGTCTGGTTGATGTGGCACCTGGCGGAGATACTTGTCACGTTTCCTCTTTAAGACTTTGTCTGTCTGTCTGTCTCTCTCTCTCTCTCTCTCTCTCTCTCTCTCTCTCTCTCTCTCTCTCTCTCTCTCTCTCTCTCTCTCTCTCTCTCTCTCTCTCTATCTCTATCTATCTATCTATCTATCTATCTATCTCTCTCTGTCTGTTTCCTGCCACTGTGCCTGCCACCGTGCCTGCCACCGTGCCTGCCACCGTGCCTGCCACCGTGTCTGCCACTGTGTCTGCCACCTTGTGTGAACCGTGGTGGTAATATTGGCAGGCCAAGGATCACCAGCCACACACACTGGGTCTGACTGCTGCCATCACATCCTGTCTACAGTGGGGGTAACAGGTGTTGGAGGGGTAGTAGTGGGTGGGAGGAGGTTGTAGTAAGTGGAAATGGAAGTAGCAGACTGTGTGGGTGAAGATGGTAGCAGGTAGAGGTGGTGGAAGAGGATGTGGAGGGGTAGTAGCGGGTGGGAGGTGGTTGAGTCATAATACCACCCAGGGTAGTACTCGGCTGATAGACAATTTGGGGTTTGTTAGGGATGCATAAGCACTGGTGGTAGTAGTTCTTGGGGGAGGGGGGGAGGGTTATGTAGTGGATGTGGTGGTAGGGGGCTTGTAGCTCAAGGGAGGAGAGGAAAAGGGTTAGGGTGCATTAACCGCCATGTCTCCCTTACCATCCACACTCTCATCTCTCCCTCCCTCTCTCTCTCTCCCTCCCCCTCCCTCCCTCTCTCCTCCCCCTCTCTCTCTCTTTATTAAATGTTTTTGAAACAAACATGAAGAGCTATTTGGTGTGCAGAGTCAATAATCTGAAACAGTGGAATGAAACTTCGAGGCAGGAGATGCAACACGAACGTGTGCAGAGATATTTTTGGTCAAACAGAATTACCTTAAAATGGAAGTACCTGTTGAAGAGAAGACAACACAGTCATTTCAAGTATGGGATTCAACTAGATACTAGGCTGGGAGCAAACTGTAAACAACGAGTTCCTCTTGTTTGTTCAGTAACTACATCACGACGATCAGTTGACGACAAGTTAACCAAGTTAATAATAATGGTGATAGAAATAGAAGTAGTTGTTGTTGGTTGTGGTAGTCAGCGAGCTACCAGCAGCAACAGCCTGGTTGACTAGGCAAGCACCAGACGAGCTTGGCCCAAGGCCGGGCTCCGGGAGTAGAAGAACTCTCGTAACTCGTCAAGGGTAAGGTAAATCAATGTTAGGTGACTACTTACACCATAGTATGCAGAGTAGAACTAGTGACGACTAGAAGTACAAATGTACGCTACTAATAAAAGTAGAGGTAGATTATAACCCAAGCCTTCAGCCCACTTCTGTCTCTTATAAATTTCATGCTTGTTACTTGAGGCCCACTGGTGTGCCTGGGCTGACACGAAACATTGCTTGTAAACAAGGCTGGCCAGCCTTCTGGGCATCTGTGGCCGAGTGGTCTAAAGCGTCACTTGGGGGAACGTTGCCAGTCTCCCTGACTTGACTTCGGATCCAGCTGACTGTGATCTCTCTCTCTTCTCTCTCTCTCTCTCTCTCTCTCTCCTCTCTCTCTCTCTCTCTCTCTCTCTCTCTCGATATATATATATATATATATATATATATATATATATATATATATATATATATATATATATATATCCCAAGTTTGATCCAAGGAAGGAAGGAAGGGATAACTCCAGTTCCTTGAAACAAAAGCTCTTCCTCAACATTAAAAATGCAGTGTTAGTATCAGTTTTTTTTGTATTCTTTTTTGTTTTCTTGTAATAGATTGTTGTATTATCATTTATTTTAGTTGTTTTCGATGTTGCATGTTGGTGTGTGTGTTACTGTCACATACACCAACATACGCGTTAAAATCACAACCGAGAGGACCCGGGTTCAATCCTGGGTGGAGTGAGACATGTAGACAAGTGTGCTTAACACCTGCTGAGTTACTACCATAGACATGTGTGCATGATATAGCACATAAGTACCTAACTGACACTTGTGTGCATGATTAGTAACATGTGTACATGGTAAGTGACATGTGTACACATGTGGGTAAGAGTGGAACAGACTGGTACAAGAGACCACTGCAGTTAATACCTTGAATCATACATAATGTTGACAATGATATAAAATACCGACAAGTTGAAGATTAAGACACATGCTTAACAATTGGAAATCTTTATTGATGAAACGTTTCGCCTACACTGTAGGCTTCTTCAGTCAAATACAGAGGAAGAAGGTGTAGTAGTGAAATAAAGATGATGTAATCAGTCCATCAACCTTGGAGGGAAAAAAAAGGATTTTAGATAGTCAGTCATTCAGCCTGGAGAAGAGTTCGGCTCCATGGTCTGGAACGACCATGGTCTGGAACGACCATGGTCTGGAACGACCATGGTCTGGAACGACCATGGTCGTGCCAGACCATGGCTGAGAGACTGACCATCTCAAATCCTTTTTTCCTCCAAGGTTAATGGACTGATGACAGCATCTTTATTCCACTACAACACCTCCTTCCTCTGTATTTGACTGAAGAAGCCTAAAGTGTGGAACGTGTCATTAATAAAGATATTCTACATTATGTTGGAATGATGCCTGAGTCTAGCTGGAAAGTGTTCCCCGGGTCAACACCCCCGCGGCCCGGTCCCAGACCAGGCTTCCCGGTGGATGGTCTGATCAACCTGGCTGCTGGTGCTAGCCGCATAAAGTCCGAAACACGCACCACAACCTGGTTCATCAGGAACTGACTTGAGAAACTTTTTTAGTTCTTTCTTGGGAAAGTTGCTCTCGTACACACTCAAGTTTAACAATGACTTGTTAATGTAACAGCTCTGAACAGTTGGATTTGAGTTGGACTTGCACATGAGTTAACAGGGTTATTAAAACCTATTATTCCTCTGGAAGCATTGAAAATGGGTTGGGCAAATATTTTTGTTGGTGGGTTTGGGTTTGAGAAGGACCTGCCTAGTATGGGCCAGTAGGCCTGCTGCAGTGTTCCTCCTTATGTTCTGAACTAGATAGTCAGTCCCTCCACTAAATCACCATCTTCAAGCACCACTCAACCAACAACTATTCCACTTATTAAATATATAATGTGATCCTAATATAAAGAAGAGATAAAAAAATAGAAAGTTGGTGACCAAAGAGAAGAAAGTTAAAAAAATTCTGTAGATATTTCACTGTTAACTGAACACTTCAACTATTGAAAGAATTAATGTGTATCCGTGCATACAAATATTCTCCTGGAGACATTCTTCAACTTTAATAAGCACTACAGTGAATACATTTCCCAATATTATTTGGAAAAATGGGGCAACATTACCGAGGACAAAAATGGGGCTGCCACAAGGTAACTTACAGATTCTAGTAGTGGCAATACTTTCTCTCTCTCTCTCTCTCTCTCTCTCTCTCTCTCTCTCTCTCTCTCTCTCTCTCTCTCTCTCTCTCTCTCTCTCTCTCTCTCTCTCTCTCTCTCTCTCTCTCTCTCTCTCTCTCTATTGTGAACCAGTCAGTCCTCCCTCAACTCATCACTGATCTGAGCCTAGCCAGCTCTGCCTCTCAGTCAAATTCTGACCTGTTTATTTCTAGTTTCCTTAAAACTACTGTTGCTCTGCACTTATCTAAAAGTAACTAATCAAATATATCCTGGTACACACAGCAGGTTTTTAGACTAGTAAGGTTCTCGTACGAGGTGTGTCTACTATAACCATCCGAGAAATCCTTAAGGCCAACACTTCAAAAACAATCCAGCTGATCTCTCCTTCATTAGCCCAGCAGATAACGGAAGATAAACATATATAATATATATATAATATTATAGTGAGTTAAAGCACTATTAAGATGACAAACTTTACACTCTCAGCTTCCATTGCAAGTGGATCAACAAGCCAAGAATCGTATCACATGCTGAAGTACAGACATTCACTAATGTAAGAGATAGTTAACATAGCTTCGCATCGTACGGTTATTTTGTATAGAAAACTTTTCATACATAATACATTCATAGGTATGCCGAACATACCTAAAACATAACAGTATTATCGATAACCAATACTCAAACTCCGCAACCCCTCCAACAGCTAACTGAAACACATATACAGTAACATTAAATGCAATCTTAATACATCATTCACTCAACACATGATAAACCTCACCATAAAATATACTCAGGTCTAAACATTATTACACGGTTATTATTGCATTCGTCAGGGAAAAAATCACCTGACACGAGTCTTTGTCATATGATGACCTGTTCATTGGTGTTGTTGGCTCACTGTCTGGGGCGAGGCAAGATGCAACCTCTGCAATGATCTCTTGTGGACAGAAGTGTCTACTGGCACACATCTGAATGTGGTAGCTGTTGGCCCTATGGCGGTAACGAGGTACACTGACCGCTTGCTTTCCCTGTCGAACTGAGTGATTCGAGTGACGGCTGAATATAAGACCTGTCTTGTATGGGCTGGTAGGCCTTGTCCGACTCACTGGTTTGAATAATTGTTGGATATAAGTAGGACCAGTTTTGTATGGGACAGGAGACCTGGTTTTACTCAGTGGTTTGAGTAATGGTTGAATGTGAGTGTGACCAGTCTAGTATGGGCCAGTAAGCCTAATGTAGTGCTACTGTTTCATATTTTCGTGTGTATTTGCAGGCAGGTGCACCCGGCCGACCTGGTGGTGGTGTCAGCAGTACCGTACGCCAGACGGAGTCTTGACGACCGCAGCAGCAGCGGTGGTGGTGGTGGTGGGGGTCGTCTTGGCGCCTCACAGTGCAAGTCACCTCCTCCTCCTACTCTTCCTCCTCACCCTCCTGCCTCCTCCTCCTCCTCCTCGTCGTCATCGTCGTCGTCTTCCCCCTCCCCCACAACCATCATCACCACCTCCGCCTACCCCACCGCCCCCAACCTGTGTGTTACCGCAGGCAAGATTGAGTTTATTACACCCCCAGGTGAGAGCCTTCGTTGTTTCCTTTATTAATCCATCTCTTCCCCAGAAATTTACTACTAATACTTAATACTACTACGGCTATTACCACTACTGCTTACTACTGCTATTTACTATTTCTACTACTAGTAACAATAATTATAATTATGTGTGTTGTTATCAGAGGATCATCCCTCTCTACTGCTTCATATTATATAACTACACACTGCCGGTGTACTTAATTTTCTTGAAATAAAAGTTAAGGTTTAGCTTAGATTTTCTTAATTTGTAAGTTGTGTCTTTTAACTTCGTGACCAGAACTTGATCTTTACTGTGTCCCAGTACTGTGTCCCAGTACTGTGTCCCAGTACTGTGTCCTACTACCATGTCCCATTAGTGTGTCCCAGTACTGTGTCCCAGTACTGTGTCCCAGTACTGTGTCCCAGTACTGTGTCCCAGTACTGCGTCCCAGTACTGTGTCCCAGTACTGTGTCCCAGTACTGTGTCCCAGTACTGTGTCCCAGTACTGTGTCCCAGTACTGTGTCCTACTACCATGTCCCATTAGTGTGTCCCAGTACTGTGTCCCAGTACTGTGTCCTACTACCATGTCCCATTACTGTGTCCCAGTACTGTGTCCTAGTACCATGTCCCATTACTGTGTCTCAGTACTGTGTCCTAGTACCATGTCCCATTAATGTGTTCCAGTACTGTGTTCCAGTACTGTGTCTCAGTACTGTATCTCAGTACTGTGTCTCAGTACTGTGTCCCAGTACTGTGTCCCAGTACTATGTCCCAGTACTGTGTCTCAGTAGTGTCTCAGTACTGTGTCCCAGTACTGTGTCCCAGTACTGTGACCCAGTACTGTGTCCCAGTACTATGTCCCAGTACTGTGTCTCAGTAATATGTCCCAGTACTGTGTCCCAGTACTATGTCCCAGTGTTGTGTCCCAGTACTGTCCCAGTACTGTGTCTCAGTACTATGTCCCAGTACTGTCCCAGTACTGTGTCCCAGTACTGTGTCCCGGCTTAAAGCTCGATTACGATGTCTCAGTCTTGAAGTATTACCTCTTAATGGCTCAGGAAATCACGGCCCCTGCGGCTTGGTCTCAGACCGGGCGCACCAGTCTCATATAGACCAGTATCCCAACATACACCAGTACGTTAAGTTTGCAGTCGGTCAGAAGTTGTAGTCTCAAGTTATTGGCGCTGAAGGTTTGAAGGCGATGGTTTCAACCATTTACAAATTACATCTATACAGCCTAAAATAAATTCAAAATTTTCTTTGAAGGAAAATATTTCGGTCTGTAAGGTTTGAGGCCAAGTACAAGAGACATTATCCAGTTATTGCATGCAAACCAATTTGCTAAATAACTTTGTCAAATTAATGTGAGGCTTCCGTTGAGAAAAACTCACCAGTACTAAAAGTTTGAAGCCAATCAGAAGGTGCATTTTCCGGTGATTGCAGAGAATTCAACAATTCCAAGATTATTATATATGGTAGTAAACTGGCATATTTGCACCAGCACAGCCTAAAACCAAACGGTATTATTTTTGCTTCACACACTGCTGCGTCATCAATCATGAAAAACTGAAGCCGGTAAGGAAGGGCAGACACAAGTGATTTCATGGAAATAATTATCGGAACAAGTGTAGAAGTTTTCAAGAGGAAACTGTCACTACCTTCCCGAGTACCAGATCAACCAGGCTGTGTGGGCCAGTGGGCTGCCACCAACAACAGACGGGTTGAACAGACAATCAACAGAAAAGCCTGGCCCCAGGCCAGGTTGTGAAAGTAGAAAAACTAGAAATAAATTATGGGTATATATGTCGTGCCATTTTAAAAATTAAATTAGCAAATTTGTTATAGCCGATGTTGGTATAGAGAGTAGCTGAATATTCTGGAGCGGTAGCGTGCAGGTTACATATACACATGTAGACTAGAGCTGGCTTTATTAACTAAGTGAGGTGTACCAGGCAGACGTAAGTAGGGTAGCCCGGAGCCAAGATATACAGGGGGGGGGGGAAGGGGGGGATCCGTTGTTCGATAGCTCTCGGCACTGAGGCCGAGAGCTGGGCGCCAGGATACACCTAAGTGCGTGCCCTCTGCCGGGCACTGCCAAAACTAGGCCATGGGCCAGCAGTTCCCCTAACGGGAGGTATGTGAAAGAGATAGGTAGGCATACTGTCTACAAATTGGCCTCTCCACACTACAATAACACTCCCAATCTTTTGTATTGCATACATCAGTGTTGAAGATTTGAAGCCAGTCACAAAAGGCTTTCTCGAATTATCGCGCGGAAACCAAAATCAGGAAGGCGAGTATAAAAATGCTGACCAGAGTGCCCCTGCACATGCTAATAAGTCAGTGAACGTTCCCCTTATTATATAGTTCACCAGCGTTGAAATCTCAACCCGATCGGATAAGACATTCTCAAGCTATAAATGGAAACCTTGGAGGAAGAAAAATCAGGCAACCACATAAAGGTACCCTTTCAGAGATATCAAATTAATTATTAGATACCCTCCTGGGAATACCTAGTTAATTTTTAGACACCATTTTGGGGATACCTAGTTAATTTTTAGATACCCTCATGGGGATGCCTAATAGTAATAAGTTATTGTTAGTACGTCTCTTTCATTTGTTATATTCATATATTTACTGGTGGAGCCATCAACTGCAGCTTATCTAGAATCACTTTTGGGGGTCACCGACCCCCCTGCAGCCCGGTCCCAGACCAGGCCTCCTGGTCGCTGACCTGATTGATCAAGTTGTTAGTGCCTGTGCACCACAACCATGCTAGTTAGGAACTGTTTTGAGGAATGTGTCGAGTTTTCCCTTGAAGACAGCTAGGGGTTTGTTGGTGAATTTCCTCACGCATGACGATAAGGCGTTGAAGAGTCGTGGTCATTGGTATTGATGTACACATAAATGTCCCTCGTACTGAGGTACACATGAATGTCCCTCGTACTGAGGTACACATGAATGTCCCTCGTACTGAGGTACACATGAATGTCCCTCGTACTGAGGTACACATGAATGTCCCTCGTACTGAGGTACACATGAATGTCCCTCGTACTGAGGTACACATGAATGTCCCTCGTACTGAGGTACACATGAATGTCCCTCGTACTGAGGTACACATGAATGTCCTTCGTACTGAGGTACACATGAATGTCCCTCGTACTTAGGTACACATGAATGTCCTTCGTACTGAGGTACACATGTATGTCCTTCGTACTGAGGTACACATGTATGTCCTTCGTACTGAGGTACACATGTATGTCCTTCGTACTGAGGTACACATGTATGTCCTTCGTACTGAGGTACACATGAATGTCCCTCGTACTGAGGTACACATATATGTCCTTCGTACTGAGACATATATGTTTGTGGAACGTAGTTGCCATCTGGACGCTATTGCTTGTATGCTTTAAATGTTAATATCTTTACTGTTACTACTAAAGTAGCATTAGGAATAATTGCAATGGTAGTAATAGTTATAGTACCAGTGACAGTAACAGTAGTAGTGGTAATAATAATTGTAGCAGTAGTAGTAAGAGTATTTTATTGTTTTATTCTTTAAATCAATTACCATTATCCATCTGATGTTGATTAATGTTGTTAGACTCGACGTTGTCGTCGAGGGCATCCCGGTGTTCAACACTGAAGCTTTCACCATGCACACAACACCGTCAAGACCAGTGCCCGCCCACCACAACTCCCTCCTCCCAACACCCTCTCCATCGGAACCATACCTCGCCTCCCTCCCCCCAAGACACACTACGCAAAGAAGCTGGCACATCCCCATCCACATTCTCCCGTAGCTCAGCCTCTTCCACCACCTCAAAGGACCACACCTGCCTCAAGGTGAGCCTCTTCCACAACCTCCAAGCACCACACCTGCCTCAAGGTGAGCCTCCTTCACCACTGTCTGACTTTTTTGGGGTTATCCCGGGTAATTTACACATAATAATTGTACTTATGTGTACCTGTGCTTAAATGAAGTTACTTACACCTCCAAGGAGCACCAGATGAGGAGAGATCCTCTCCTATATGTACCATTTCAAGAGCTCGCTTTTTCTATTTTTGTTTCTTTTAGTAGTTTTATTTTATTTTCATTAGGCAACAGTCAGTCAGTTTGTCTGCCTGTCTGTCTGTCTCTGTCTCTGTCTGTCTGTCTGTCTGTCTGTCTCTGTCTCTGTCTGTCTGTCTGTCTGTCTGTCTGTCTCTCTCTCTCTCTCTCTCTCTCTCTCTCTCTCTCTCTCTCTCTCTCTCTCTCTCTATCTATCTATCTATCTATCTATCTATCTATCTATATATCTCTCTCTGTCTCATATCCTGGAGTTTACCTGGAGAGAGTTCCGGGGGTCAACGCCCCCGCGGCCCTGTCTGTGACCAGGTCTCAGCTGCGTACAGCCTTAATGCAATATTTGACTTCAACTTATTTACGTGCAGGAGGTAGTCAGTGCCCGCAGGGTGAGGGTATTTTTTAGAGCATTAGCTTTCCACTGGCCTTGTGAAATGTTAAATTTTAGTCGCGATGCAGTCGTAGCTGACTCGAGGGTTTTGGGTTTGTACATCCAGCTTTTCAGTTAACATTACAGCATGGTTACCATTCTTAATATGTTGGAAAAGTTTGAGGGCTTCAGTACATAGCACTTATTTTGATTGCTGTTGTACTGGCTGCATGCGAGTTCATGTGTTCCAGTTACTAGTTTCACTCATTTGTGTTTGTTTGGATTCTGATGTATTCGAGTGGATTTTCCGTTTCTTTCCTCGTGAATATCTAATTTTTACTACGTGTTCTTTCCTTGTCGTTCGTTTTGCAAGCGCCTATCACTGGTAAACTATGAAGCAAACAAAACATAGGAGCCGAGGAAGACAACAAGGAGAGCTCCTTGAATGGATTCCCAGCACTGCTCAGGTCCTAATGGCTCATACTAGGCGTTTCTAATAAGCAAATGTATGGTATTATGTAGATGAAGCTATGCCTTGCTTCCGTGGTAGTAGGAAACCAGAGGAGCCTCAGGCAAGCCATCATTAACACTGACACACTACCAGCCACCCAGGCTTATCTCTTCCCGGCTTAATTTACATCTGCATGTAGACATTTACGATAAATATAAGCCCATCACACAATCTCCCTGGGATGGTCATTATGGTGCGTCACCACCAGTCTTACTGTTTCAGTCTCTCTCACTTATTTTAATCAGTGGATCAGGTGTTTACTCTTGTTTGGAAGGAAGTTCAGAATAAACCCAGTGAAAAGTAGGGTCGCCGTGGGCACAAACAGAGAACATTGTATCAACATCAGTGGCCACAGACTTAACGTCTTATCAGAAGATATCAGAAACTGCTGGGACAGGTGTAGAAGTTATTGTCACCACCAGGTACCAAATCAACTAGGCTGTGATGGATATGTGGGCCAGCGGGCCGCCAGCAGTGTACATGATGAGAGGTGAGTGTAATGAAGGTGTACATAGTGAGGAAGATGAGTGTAATGAAAGTGTACATAGTGAGGGAGGTGAGTGTGGTGAAGGTGTACATAGTGAGGGAGATGAGTGCAGTGAAGGTGTACATAGTGAGGGAGATGAGTGCAGTGAAGATGTACATAGTGAGGGAGGTGAGTATAGTGAAGGCGATGAGTGTAGTGAAGGTGTACGTAGTGAGGGAGGTGAGTGTAGTCAGGGGGTGAGTGAAGGGAGTGAGTGTAGTGAAGGAGGTGAGTGAATGTAGTGAAGAAGGTGAGTGTAGTGAAGGGGCGAGTGAGTGTAGTGAGGAAGGTGAGGGTAGTGAAGATGTACATAGTGAGGGAGGTGAGTGTAGTGAAGAAGGAAGGTGTACAAAATGAGGGAGGTGAGTGTAGTGAAGGAGGAAGGTGTACATAGTGACGGAGGTAAATGGGTGTAGTGAAGGAAGAAGGAAGGTGTACATAATGAGTGTAGTGAAGGAGGAAGGTGGGTGTACATAGTGAGGGAGGTGAATGAGTGTAGTGAAGGAGGGAGGAAGGTGTACATAGTGAGGGAAGAGGTTACCGAGTCTGGCTAAAAGTATTCCTGAGTGCTGCTGCTGCTGCTGCATGACTCACCCAGCCCCCGGCTCTTGTTGCCAACATCTTCACTCATCCCACTCTCTCATCCATACTCATCATTTACTTTCCCTCTTCCCTCCTTTCTCCCTCCCTATGTATGTTATATACCCGTATGGCTAGACATATATTGCAGTATAGCCTAAAAATAGCTGTAGCTTTTCATAGTGACAAGATGAACTTGAAAAAGGAAATTGTTTACAGAAGCAGTTTGTATGGCGGCTCAACAGATGGCGTTACAAGTCTTCAATATTTTATATATCTCCTTAATTCATATGGAAATGCTACGCCTAATTGCTGTTTATAAATTAGGATTTGCATATTTATGCATTAGTTTTGTCTATTTTATGTGAGTGGTGAGCTTAATTTCGAGTAATGGTGAGGTGTTGATGGATGTTATGGCGAGGTGTAGCAACTGAGGCGGGTGCTTTGTTGTTGTCTGGTGTTGCTGTGTAGTGTTGTTGTTGAGTATTGTTGTTGCTGTGTTGTTGTTGTTGTTGCCACACCTCTCATGCTGCCACCACACCACTCATGACCCACCAGGCCACCATTATGCCCTGGTGTGCCTCTACTCTGGCTCCGAGGACCAGGTTAAGGCGGTGTATTGGGCCAGCCAGGAGGGACGATGTACGGGCCTCTCTTATTCTAGCAGCTACGAGGTTACTAAACTGTACATTATCTATCTTACTACACAACTTACTTTGCCATCACTCTTCTCATTACATTAGTCGTATATACTGAAGAGTTTTCTGATATATTAGTTTTATTTTACCATTGTGGGTCCTCTAAACAAGACAACAGATGTGACTGGTTGCTTATCCTACATTATATGATACTACCATATGGGTATTTTTCTCTTACAAATTATAGCTGTATAGTCCTTGTGGCTTAGCGCTTCTTTTTGATTATAATAATAATAATCTTACAAATTATAGCGCTTCTTTTTTATTATAATAATCTCTTTCAAATTAAAATTGAAATTTTTATTTCTTTGCTAAGTTTACAATGTATGATTTACATATAAAATATTGTTAAGCACAAAGAAAGGCCACTAGCATGTCTGAGCATTTCGGCCAGTATTACTTTACCTCACTTAGTTTCTTATAATGCATTGCTATATGTGAAGGTGACTAGTCATGTGTCATGCTAACCTAAAGCTTCTTAAACATAAACTGAAGAGAGTTTCTTTTGGTATATCAAAAGTAAGAAGCATCATTTAGTTAAATCAACTAGGATAATCAAATTTTTTTATGGTGTAAATCCTATGAAGGAAATTTAGGGATATTTTGTATTAGTCTTTATAGTATTTATAACAAATCTATGCAGTTTTATTTTTTAGTTTTAAATATAAATTACTTGATGGTCATACACAGCAGTGTTAAATTACAGTGTTATAAAGAACTGTTCTAACTAAATGAAACCTGTTACTGCCATTTACTCCTTGGATAAGGACCTAATTGGAATTGTTTGTTCAAGTACTGAAGTTACTTTGTCTGACTTTTTTGGGTTATCCTAGATAATCTACACATATGCTGCTATGTATGATAATTTATGTAACTGTATTGATGTGTACCTATACCTGAATAAACTTATGCATATATACATGTTTCCTTCCCTATTAAGCACATATGAATAGAAGATCAGTACAGTAAGTCTGCTGGCCCATGTACAGCATATCCTCCTCAACCTCAATGATCCTTACTTAAATATTTGTCCAACCTGTTTTTAAAACTACACAAGGAGTTAACTACAGTGATAACAAGTTATTCTACTCATTTGCAACTCTGTTGCCAAACTGGTACTTTTTGTTTATCTCCTTTCTAAATCTTAATTTATTCAATTTGAATATGTTGTTTCTACCCAACTTTGGGCACTATTTCTTCCTTGGATACCAGGAGGTAGGCCATGATACAGCAGAACTTATCATTGGCCATTTAAACCCCAAACAATAGAATCAACAGCTTGGCATATCAGGCATATTGTGTTAGTAGATGGATAGGTTTTATACCTTACTTTGTGACCCATTTGAGTTTAGTGCTTTTTTTAAATATACGAGGCTTTAAATCTAACAAACTGTATTTCCTAGAATTATAGGCCATTTCCCAGTTCATCTTAAAATATATTATTATTTGGATTCCCATTGCTGTATGCAGTCCTAGCAGCTGCCTTCTTTCTTGCAGATATAAATTTTACTCCTAAGCAACTTGAAACACATCGAGAAATCTTTCATTCCTTTTTTTCTCTATTCTTTTTCCCCTTGTGCAGTCATCTCATTATTCCACTTATTCTCACTTACATTAATATTTAGATGTTTTGCTCACAAGGAGTTTCTTCTGTCCTGAAGTGCTGGGTGAGCAAAAAGGTTTCTGAATAAAAGTTTCCCCTCACATTGCATATATATCTTCATTCATAGAAATACTAGTCCAAAGTTTATCATTTCTGAATACTTGCACCAACTTCTTTCTTTATTAATCTTTTATATTCACACTATCTATATAGTACATTCCTGTATGGATAGTGTATGCAGAAACAAATAATAAAATTTTGATTTATCAGGTAACTTGGGCTATAAAATTAGATTTTGCTTTTCCTTTCTCAGATTTTCTCAGTAGAGGTTGATGAAGATGAGGAAAGACAGCCTTTAAGGAACAACTCTCAGGGGGCCACAAGTCCTTGCAGGAACAAGCAACAAGAGCTTGAGAACGGTTCACATGCACCCATCAGCCACCAGAAGAATAACGGTGGTGCCATGGATTCTGGCCAGGTAGGTTTATAATTTGTGGCATCATATATACATTAAAAGCAGAAGATACCCAGAGAAGACACTGATTTACACATACTTTGGAAAAGCTGCTGTCTGGCTTTTATAATAGGCTTATTTATTTATGAACACATTTTTGGCTGAGGTTTCCACTTACACAGTCAACTGCAGGTCAGAGGGTCTTTTGAATTGGGATGTCTGTGCACTTCTTGCAACACAGTTATTGAATGAGTGATGTTGAATGTCCTTTTTTTTTTTAATCACCCAGCCTTGATGGGAGAGAGCTGGTGTATTAAAAAAAAATTATCACATCATCTTAGTAGTAATCTGTTAGGTGAATTAGTGTTGTTCAGCAGCTACACTGATACCAAAACCTTATTTTCAGGGAGGCTCTGATGGGCACCAAGTGGAAATTTTACGTCAAGAAAATGAAGAGGTGAAACAGAGACTGGCAAATCTTCAGCATGAGTTTTCTTTGTAAGTAGTCCAATTAATATATTTTAAATTTTATTTTTTGCTTGGCAATACATATTAGTAGTACATAACAGTTTATAACAATTTACATGGCAGTGCAGTGTAAATTGCTACAACATTAGTTTCTTGTGAACCAGAGCTAATGCTTTGAAATCAGGTTGAATTTTGTGTGATGTTTTGAATTAAAATATAATGCATTAGTTTAAAACTTTATTTTGGTATGACTGCCCTTTTTTTTTGTGAATAGAAAGGAAAATGTATATACTTTCGAAAGTTACTGAGAAATTTTTTGCCTTTGTTACATGACACTAGGAAAAAATTGGTCACATTTTATTTTAGCTCTGCATCCCTCATTAGAGGTTCCTTGACGCTTGTGAGGGGTTCTTGATCCAATGAATTAGACCTGCCCTTCTCTTTCTCGGATCATATCTGAATACCTTCCATTCCCCATTGTGCTGTATGACCCCTACAGGCTTAAAGCTCCCCCATGAACGTAATAATAATTTTAAGCTACAAAAAATTTGTTAGCCTCATTATACTTCATCTCTAAGAAGTCTACAGTGATGTCAAAATGCCTGATTTCAAAGTTGGGAGAGCCTTGTAAGTCAGAATACATTCCCATATATGTCTGTATATATATATATATATATATATATATATATATATATATATATATATATATATATATATGTGTGTATGTATGTATGTATGTATGTATGTATGTATGTATGTATGTATGTCCTGTTTAAGGGCAATGTGTGGTGTAAATATTATGCAGAAAATTCGGAGTGTGGAAATTAGGAGAAGGTGTGGAGTTAATAAAAGTATTAGTCAGAGGGCAGAAGAGGGGTTGTTGAGGTGGTTTGGTCATTTAGAGAGAATGGATCACAGTAGAATGACATGGAAAGCATATAAATCTATAGGGGAAGGAAGGCGGGGTAGGGGTCGTCCTCGAAAGGGTTGGAGAGAGGGGGTAAAGGAGGTTTTGTGGGTAAGGGGCTTGGACTTCCAGCAATCGTGCGTGAGCGTGTTAGATAGGAGTGAATGGAGACGAATGGTACTTGGGACCTGACGATCTGTTGGAGTGTGAGCAGGGTAATATTTAGTGAAGGGATTCAGGGAAACCGGTTATTTTCATATAGTCGGACTTGAGTCCTGGAAATGGGAAGTACAATGCCTGCACTTTAAAGGAGGGGTTTGGGATATTGGCAGTTTGGAGGGATATGTTGTGTATCTTTATATGTGTATGCTTCTAGACTGTTGTATTCTGAGCACCTCTGCAAAAACAGTGATAATGTGCGAGTGTGGTGAAAGTGTTGAATGATGATGAAAGTATTTTCTTTTTGGGGATTTTCTTTCTTTTTTGGGTCACCCTGCCTCGGTGGGAGACGGCCGACTTGTTGAAAAAAAAAAAAAAAAAAAAAAAAAAAAAAAAAAATGTGACTGAAGAATTCTGCCAAGTTTTCATCAGGCAGGATGCAGAATGTCAAGTTGTAAATGGCACACTCCATCAGGAAAAAGTTTTGTTGTACTGCATTTTATTATTAGTCAAAATATGGCCACACTTTCAGGGCCAATTTGCTACTTGTCACAATTGGCAACAGAGCTGCCCACCCTGGCTCCACAGTATTGGCTTTCAAACTTCTTAGTCACAGATCCTATTTATTAACCCTTTCAGGGTTTCCGACGTACTAGTACGTCTTACGCACCAGGGTTATTGATGCACTAGTGTGCGTAAATTCTAGCGCCTTCAAATCTAGCGAGAGAAAGCTGGTAGGCCTACATATGAAAGAATGGGTCTGTGTGGTCAGTGTGCACAGTATAAAGAAAATCCTGCAGCACACAGTGCGTAATGAGTAAAAAAAACTTTGACCGTGTTTTTGGTTTAAAACAGTGAATTTGCACTGTATTTTCATATGGTATTGATGGTTGTATTATAGTTTTCCTGGTCTCATTTTATAGAATGGAAGACATATTACAGAAATTGAGATGATTTTGATTGGTTTCACAATGAAAAGTACCTTGAAATTGAGCTCAAAGTAGCAGAAATGTTCGATTTTTGCGAAAGTTCAAAAGTAAACGAATCATGCCACGCATCCAATACACGTCAACTGGTGAGTCTAATATTCCTTGACAAGTGTGCTGATATTATTTATACCATTTCTACACTAATGCAGTAGTCTGCATAATAGTAAATCTTCTATTATTTTTTTTTTTTTTTTTTTTTTTTTTGAGAATAAAAATTCAAAGTGGAAAGCAAAAGAAATGTAAGAGGGGACTGGGGACATGACTAATGAACAGAGGAAATGTTATTTTAGTGCCAGGAATATCTGTCTTGTTTATTCTGGACCCTGTTTGGAAATTGGTATCTTTTGAAATTTGTGTGAAATTGGCAAAATTGCCAATTTCTGACCACTGTATTGGATAGTTGAAATCGGTAAATGGGTGGTTTCTTGTACTTAGTCGATAGAAAAAATGGAGTTCTAGCGAAACAGGTATGATTTTTGCCGACTAGCACACTAGAATTGGCCGAAAATAGAACTCAAAGTGGGCGAAATCGCCAATGTGTAAACATCGTCGAGACCGCTAACTTCACGAGAGTATAATTCCATAAGTTTTCCATCATATTTCATGCTTTTGGTGTCATTATCATTGGGAAAAGATTCTCTCTCATTTCATAAGAATTTTTTTTTTTTTTTTTCCGAATAATTTTCAACACTGAGAACAAATTTAGGAGAGGGCCTCTCGACCGTGAAAGGGTTAAAAAAATTCCCTGACCCTTGATGGAAAGGTAAAATTTTAATGATATAAAGCAATTGATGTTTATAAGCAGTTGATGTTACCTACAATCATATTTAGCCTTCTGTACAGTATTTGTTTTTGTTGCCATGTATAACAAGGCTGTCTTGCATATATGTTTAGTTCAGGAAAATGTGGCAAACTTAAGCCTTAAAACTTAGAAAACTCAACATATCAGTCAAACCAGAGCTTGTATACCATTTGGGCTCCTGTTTCATACTGTGGCTGTACTGTAAGACCCACCATTTAATATTTGTCATACCTTTTTCTTCAGTCACCCATAGCATGCCCCATAGAACCCCTTTAAGTTCCCATGGAATTCAAGGGCTCTGCAGAATATTGAAATCCTCTGCCCTAGAGTAGTAGTTCCCAACCTTTTATCTGTGACAAGCCCTGTCGCTTATATCCACCCACATAAAAATCATCAGTCATGTTCAGGTATTTATTATATCTACATAGCTAAAGGAACTCTAGTTACCATATGCAAAATAAATATATATATATATATATATACACACACACACATATATATATATATATATTATATATATATATATATATATATATATATATATTTATATTTATATTTATTTATTTTGCCAAAGTGGGAAGTCTGAATGTGCGTGGATGTTGTGCAAATGATAAGAAAGAGATGATTGTGGATGTTATGAATGAGAAGAAGCTGGATGTCCTGGCTTTAAGTGAAACGAAGAAGAAGGGGTTGGGAGAGTTTCAGTAGAGAGGAATAAATGGGATTAGGTCAGGGGGTTTCAAATAGAGTTAGAGCTAAAGAAGGTGTAGCAATAATGTTGAAGGATAAGCTATGGCAGGAAAAGAGGGACTATAAATGTATTAATTCAAGGATTATGTGGAGTAAAATAAGATTGGATGTGAAAAGTGGGTTATAATAAGCATGTATGCACCTGGAGAAGAGAGAAGTGTAGAGGAGAGAGAGAGATTTTGGGAAATGTTGAGTGAATGCGTGGGGAGTTTTGAATCAAGTGTGAGAGTAATGGTGGTTGGGGATTTCAATGCTAAAGTGGGTAAAAATGTTATGGAGGGAGTAGTAGGTAAATTTGGGGTGCCAGGGGTAAATGTAAATAGGGAGCCTTTAATTGAGCTATGTGTAGAAAGAGATTTGGTAATAAGTAATACATATTTTATGAAAAAGAGGATAAATAAATATACAAGGTATGATGTAGCACGTAATGAAAGTAGTTTATTAGATTATGTATTGGTTGGTAAAAGGTTGATGGGTAGGCTCCAGGATGTACATGTTTATAGAGGGGCAACTGATATATCGGATCATTATTTAGTTGTAGCTACAGTTAGAGTAAGAGGTAGATGGGAAAAGAGGAAGGTGGCAACAACAAGTCAGAGGGAGGTGAAAGTGTATAAACTAAGGGAGGAGGAAGTTCAGGTGAGATATAAGCGACTATTGGCAGAAAGGTGGGCTAGTACAAAGATGAGTAGTGGCGGGTTGAAGAGGGTTGGAATAGTTTTAAAAATGCAGTACTAGAATGTGGGGCAGAAGTTTGTGGTTATAGGAGGGTGGGGGCAGGTGGAAAGAGGAGTGATTGGTGGAATGATGAAGTAAAGGGCGTGATAAAAGAGAAAAAGGTAGCTTATGAGAGGTTTTTACAAAGCAGAAGTGTTATAAGAAGAGCAGAGTATATGGAGAGTAAAAGAAAGGTAAAGAGAGTGGTGAGAGAGTGCAAAAGGAGAGCAGATGATAGAGTGGGAGAGGCACTGTCAAGAAATTTTAATAAAAATAAGAAAAAATTTTGGAGTGAGTTAAACAAGTTAAGAAAGCCTAGGGAAAGTATGGACTTGTCAGTTAAAAACAGAGTAGGGGAGTTAGTAGATGGGGAGATGGAGGTATTAGGTAGATGGTGAGAATATTTTGAGGAACTTTTAACATAAGACATAAGAAAGGAGGATCACTGCAGCAGGCCTGTTGGTCCATACTAGGCAAGTCCTTTACAATCCATCCCACTAACAAAACATTTTCCCAACCCAATTTTCAATGCTACCCAAGAAATAAGCTCTGATAACTCTATCCACTTATTTGCAAGTCCCACTCAAATCCAACCCCTCTCACTCATATATTTATTCAACCTAAATTTGAAACTACCCGAAGCCCTAGCCTCAATAACCCAACTAGGTAGACTGTTCCACTCATCAACTACCCTATTTCCAAACTA